AAGTATTCAGCAGAGCGCTGCAGCAGTAGGCATGCCCGGGCAAGCCTCGGTAGGATCTTCATTCAATCAGAGAAATAAATGGTAGTTGTTATTTCCACATTGTCTAATGCATCCAATGCAGCAGAAACACTTTATAGTCATATTCAGAATGCTAAATATCTATATGCTAAACATCGTCACAACATTCGTTTAAATATGCACAGATCATCAACAATGTTGAAACCACCTGCCTAATGTTTTGTAGTTGACGGTCTTACCACCAGAACAGCTCTGACCAGTCCGGACATTTCCATAAATGCCTGAGTGGAATGAGCTTTGGGCAGTTTGGTGCTCGGGTCATTGCCTTGGGCTCTTTGCTAAAGCTGTCCCTGAGCAGGTTTTGCCCTGTGGTTTAGGCACGTTATCAAGGGGTGTTACGATACGACCACCTAACATCCACAGGATTTAAGTTGGTTAAACATTTTTAGTTCTTCTCTCCACTGGTCAATGGTTTCGATGCGTTGGCTGATTTGCTCTGTTGCTTTTTGTACACTGCTCAACAACAACAAAAGAAAATTAAAGCAACACATCAGATCTGAGGGTTAAAAAAATCATGTTGCATATCTATACTGATATGAAAATGATCACCTTACAGAGGGCTGAATTCAAAGACATATTGAAAATCAAAGTAAAAAAATTATGGAGCAGGCTTGTCCACTTTGCGGAAATTTTAATTGCAGCTAGTCATAATGGTACTTAGTAGTTTGTATGGACCCCTGCCTGCCCCCCGCCCAATGTGCTTGTAAGCATGCCTGACAATGTCCGGGGATGGTGATGGTATCCTGAGGGAATCTCCCCCCAGATCCGGATAGTCTAAGATGCAACCTGCTGGTTTTCAATTAGTTGAAACATAATGTTCTACAAGTGTTCTACTGGATGGAGGTAAGGAAAGCATGGGGGCCAGTCAGTAATATCAACTCTGTCCTCCTCCAGGAACTACCTTCATACTCTCGCTACATGAGGCCAGGCAATGTTGTGCAGCAGAGAACATCAGTGGTGGGCCTGCTAATTCTGGTATTCTCTGGCAAATGCCAGTCAGGCTCCATGGTGTGGGCAGTGAGCACAGTGCCCACTAGAGGACGTTGGGTCCTCGGGTCACCCTCATGAAGTCTGTGATTGTTTAGTGAGAGACCTTCACACCAGGGTCCTGCTGGAGGTCCTTTTATAAGGATGTGGCAGTGTTTATCTTGTTACTCCTTACACAAAGGAACAGACACTGATGGGATAAGGACCCTCTACAGCACCGCTCACCTCTGAGTAACCGCCTCTCAAAAGTGATTAAAAAAAAAACAACAACCCATAAACACACCTAAACTCAGAAGAGTTGAAGCTGCAAAGGGTGGGCGGACATCATATTTAACTCTTTGGATTAAGAGTAGGATGAGAAGGTCATATGTATGTGAAGGCAGACGAGCAGTTACTTTTGGCAGTATAGTGTGGTTGCAGGGATTATGAGAAATGTATTTCCCATGTTTGATGATTTGCATGCGCACTTTGTCATGTTCTGATCCAGACATGGGTCACCTCCTCATCCACTACCCGCACCTCCTGCTGACTGTCAGCATGCTGGCCTGTCAGTGTCTCGCGGTCAACGGGCTGTTTGAGTGGCTGAGGCTGACAGAGGCACCTCGAGCAGCAGCGCCTCCGCAACCAGCTGCAGTGGCTCCAGCACATCTTGCCAAAGACGCTCAGTTTGAGATGGCAACTACAGATGAGAAGTTTTTAGCTGAGGCAAAGCAGATGGAGCTCAGCCCATTGGACAGCTGTCATTACAGGGTATGTGGGCCTTGAAAAGGTGTATTTAATCCAACGGACAAATAAAATGTTTTTGAACAATATTAGGTTTAAGTTTGGAGAAGGCTGGGGAACAGTGTTGTTAAGTGTCTTTCATATAAAATTCTCATGGCACAGTTTTCAATACATTGTTTAAACAGAGGAATCATGTTTCTCTGGTTTGTCTCCTCCTGTAGGTGATCGCTCGGCTAAAGTCGAGCTGTGACAGCCTCTCAGAAGAAAAGCTCGCAAAGCTCGGAGTGGAACTGTTTAACTGCCAGGCAGAGATTGAGGGGCGCCAGACGTACCTATGCACAGAAGAGATGGTAAAAATACGATCTTGTAGTACTTGTCAGAAATGGCTTTAAAAATATAGTGAAAAAAATATAATGTTGTGTGCTAATCTCAATTTTATGTGTTAGACCATCAAAGAGTGCACAGCAGACATGGATTCAGATACATGGAATGCTTACCACATAGTGAGCAACCGAGCGCGCTCCGTTTGTTACGCAACTCGACAGCAGCTTTTCCGGCGCAGAGCAGAGCACACAGTCAATGCACTCATCTCCACAGCCACCAGCCAGCTAGATGCAATGAAGGACCTGAAGGTAGGGCTGGGTTTAAAAAATAAAAAAATTATTATTTTTATTTTGCAAATCAGTGGTTTCTTGGGATTCATGGATCATTTTCAAACAGGAGGGCCAGGTAGAGTTGAAAGAACTGACTGCAGCATCACTGGACAAGCTGCTTGAAGGCCACAGTGCTCTGCAGGCTCAACAGGGGAAGCTGCACGAGGGCCAGGAGCAGATGGAGAGTTCACTGAGGGATAACCTGGAGCGTCTGGGTCAGGAAAAAGCTCTCATCGCCTCTGGACAGGAGCTGGTAGCTCAGCTCATTCAGGGAATTACACAAAGAATGGGTGAGAATTTTTAAATTTTCTGTATTTTTATTCTATTCTGTTAAAGTTGACTTTGGGCGCGACTGCAAATAATCTGACATAAAGGCTCTTTTCATGTGCTAACAGTCAAATTGCAGCAGTTTGTAAATGGGTTTACTACTGACCATGGATAAAAGAAACTGTTTGTCAAATTACAAAGTACTTGAAAATGACCTTATACAGATGGTTTGATGTGCTGAATGACTTCTGGAAGTTTTAACTTTCCCCCTTTAAATAGGATAAAATATTGAACTGCAATTCTCTTTAAGAAAACTCTGTAAACACACCTGATGCCACATCACGTAGCATGGATTTTATTCTTGCCGCATGTCTTTCTGTCCACCTTTTTTAGAGAATGTGAGCGAGCATCTCCAAATCCAGGGCTCTGAGGTGCAGGACAGCCACAAGGTGATTGTCAAGGACCTGGCAGATGTAAGACACCAAGCTCAGGACATCTATCAGAAAATTGGTAAATGGCTGAAATCATTTGTAGTTTATAAAACTATCCCCCCCAAGCAATGTGCTTACATATCATTTTGTATGTGGCTGAGCAGACCACAGTATGATAGAGTTTCTGCAGTATCAGGATCAGACCTCCCAGTACTACACTGACCTGATGAACAAGTTGGAGCGCATGAACAGCACCCTGGGAGGCATGCTGCACTACCTCGATAAGATGCAGAGCCGCATAGAGGACAGGTTTCACATGATCCAGGGCTACCTCGGATGGGCAGGTGAGACACGGCAGCAATAGGGCACACTCCCTTTTTACAGGGTCTTTTCCTGCTACAGAGAAGTTGGATAATTGACTGTCAGCAGGACACATTTAGAAATTAATTCTTTACATCCTCTTTGACTAAAAAAAGGTTTCTGTATGACTTAAGAATTCTTTTTCTTGTGCTTTTTGCTCAAACAGGTTTAAGTCTGACAGCTATGTGGACGTGCATCACACACACAGGCTACTTTGTACTGTGTGCAGTCCTGCTGACATTCCTGCACTGTCCTGGTTTCTCTCGAGCCATGCTGCTGCTCACTGTGCCTCTGAATGCAGTGGCTGAAGTCAACCAGCAGCCAGCGCTGGATCTCACCAGCCTCAGCCTGCTGCTGCTCACTCTGTCTCTGGGTATAAACATAAAGTCACTTATGAGGAAAATACATTAGCTGCAGTTTTCTGAAGCATTTGTCACAGTGTGAATTTTGTTTCTGCAGGTCACTGGTTTGTGAATCAGCTGTGGGCATGCTTCCAGATCACGAAAAAGCTGACCAGTCCACTGCCACTCAGCTCGTGCACCATTGTGGAACCGCAGAAGCAGC